CCCACTGAAGAACATGTTGTGTTCTGAACGTCTGTTTATGAAATTGCTGTTTGACAATCAGAGTACACTTTCTTGTAACCGTACACAGAAGAGCAACCAGCAACACAGCTCTAACTGGAGACATTGCTAAAGGAAAATGATAGGAAGCCATAAAGTTATGCAGTGGGGTCAACTTTTCCTTTTCAAAGTCATAAAATAGACACGTGGAATACGTCAAACTGTACAGTAGTCTGTGGACAGGGGGTGATACTAGGAAACATCAAAATAACATTTTTAACTAGCTTCTTTAGTTCTATTATGGAAGCTGGTCCTGGGGACAGCAGGTTTATTTGGAGTGGTTGCAGAGGTGCAAAGGACGCCTGTGAGGAAGCCGAGCCCGGGCTGTGGTGCTCAGGCTTCAGGGTGGTGGGGTCGCCTGCATGGTTCACTGAAAATGCATATTTCTGGGCTTGCTCTAGGAGGAGGGAGACTGGGCTGGTAGATACAGAGCCCAGGAATGTGCATTCTAACAAGCACTGTGGAGAGTCTGACCCAGGAGAAGCCCTAGCCCAGAGGAGAGTCGTGGCCTCTCCACTGAACTGAAAGATAGAAGCCCCTGCCTGTTCAGTGTGGAGTCGTGCCTCGGTCCTCCTGTGCCCTTTGCCAGTGGGAGGAGGAGAAAAGAAGCTACCAGTTCGCAGAACACATACGGATCAGAGATTTAGGGTTAAGGGCATGTGTCAGAAATGAAAGAGGCATCCCTCATTCAGCGAACATTAAAGGCTGAGATTCAGCTGGGATGATGAATCTAAAACCCTGCTAAGTGCTTAGCAAGTGGTTATGTATTTATAGTATTGTGTTGCTCTACAATTATATTAAAATCTACTTGGAAAATCAAGACAAAGATACTCAAAACTATAGCCAGGCATCAATAAGCCAATTTTTAATAATACAGTTTAATTTGTTCAGAAATGCTAGCGAATGAAAATGAAGGCAAACTCAGTGTGGAAGGCCTCTCAGAGGAAGTGGAGGCTCCACAGTAAGGCTCTGGCTTCCAAAGCGGGCCCACTGCCTTCCGGCTGGGAGGCGCTGACCATCCATCTCTGTGTGCGGTGAGGCTGATGGAAGGGTGCGGTTGCTCAATGAGAGGCAGCCCTATAGCAAGATTTGAAAGTGAAATAAACTGGGACCAGCAGATGGCGTAATGGTTATGTTGCTGGACTCCCAGCAACATAGTCAACTGTGGTTCGAGTCCCAAACCCAGTGGCTAGAACCTCATACTGGGCATGTATGCATGTGTGCCCAGAGTCCCAAGAGGAGAATGGAGGAGACGGGATTGTAGTGTGGCCACACCCCCCAGGTGACTTCTTGCTTTTTGTCTCTGTCTCTCTCTGTCTCTCTGGTGAACACACACTTCTATAGCAAAATCCTCTCAAAAAAAAAAAAAGTGAAACAAAACTTACCTCTGTCGGGAATCTCAGGACCAACAGGGACACAGTTGTCTTTGACACCCTTCTACGTGTGATACTGTGGGTGGTAGCTAAATGGCTAGGATGTAGTCTGGGGAGGGTAAACTGGCACATCACAAAGAGGTGGTCAGTGGGTGAGAGGCAAACACCAGTCACCACAGTGCGAGGCAGAGTAAACAGTAACACCCTCATCGGCATACAAGAGGCAGAGCAGCGACCTTCAGCTGGGTGGATTTAAGAGGCAGCACTATCAAAAGAGCCAGTGAGAGACAGAGAGGGAGAGAGAGCAGCTTTCCCGCTCTGGGAGCAGCCTGAGTAGGGCAGGGAGGGGGCGGCCCCAGGTGTGTTGGGAGGCACGGCTGGTCAGCAAGTGTCCAGAGCTCCGCAAGGGCTCACCAAAGGTGCAAGTGTGTGTGTGATCTGGGGCCAGTCCAGAGAGCCCTGAATGCCATTTTCGGGAATTGTAAAATAGTAATGGCAATAATTCTGGTTATCAGGAGCCTACCATATGGCCCACCCGGTGCGAGCCAGTTCATACCCGTTCGACCCCTGGAAAAAGCCTATGCCTAGTCTTCCGATGTCCGTTTTATGGATGAGGAACTTGCAACTGTGAAGTCTTTAGAACAAGGGGAGGGGTGGGGGGTCTGTATTTTCAGAAAGCAGCTCCCACAGCAGTAGGTGGGCAGAACGGATGGGACACGTGCCAGCACATAGGGGCCCCCTTGACTTCTAACATGTTGTTGGGGACAAGCCATTTGTCCCCCAAATTGTTTAGCAAGGCATGAAGAAATGACAGGTATTTCTAAAAATGGACTGGTCCTCTCCAAAGTTTTGTGGGTTGGGCGGGCTTTGAAGCATATGATCATTTATGGAATTTTAGAACCTTTTCTTCCCCATGGTTCTTCTCAGACTTCCCCAGGAAAAGCGTCCCTTCTGGGGACAGCACTGAAAATTCCACAGCAGCGTCTCCTGGCCAGGCACAGCAGAACACAGACCCAGGGCAATGCTGTGAGCCAAAATTAGCCTTTTTATGAGCTCATTAGAAGCCTAAAGTTGAGCATCCGTTGCCATCCAAAATGTAACAGGAAGGTGAAAATATAACAGGAAAGAGAAGGCTTTCTCCTTCCCTCCCTCCCCCTTTCCGTCCACCATCCATCTGATAAGCAACAATCAAAGCAGAATCTTGGACGGGCGGGTGTCTCCTTCATCGTCAAGTAAACCCAACCCAAGCTCCTGAGAAACCCACTGTGCGCGACTCCAGTGACATTGCGGAGTTCCAGGCGGAGGGCAGAGAGACAGGTTTGCCATTTCTCAGTCAGTCCTGAAGTCTGCCAACTCCTTCTGTCTCTCTGGTGAACACACACTTCTATAGCAAAATCCTCTCAAAAAAAAAAAAAGTGAAACAAAACTTACCTCTGTCGGGAATCTCAGGACCAACAGGGACACAGTTGTCTTTGACACCCTTCTACGTGTGATACTGTGGGTGGTAGGAAAATGGCTAGGATGTAGTCTGGGGAGGGTAAACTGGCACATCACAAAGAGGTGGTCAGTGGGTGAGAGGCAAACACCAGTCACCACAGTGCGAGGCAGAGTAAACAGTAACACCCTCATCGGCATACAAGAGGCAGAGCAGCGACCTTCAGCTGGGTGGATTTAAGAGGCAGCACTATCAAAAGAGCCAGTGAGAGACAGAGAGGGAGAGAGAGCAGCTTTCCCGCTCTGGGAGCAGCCTGAGTAGGGCAGGGAGGGGGCGGCCCCAGGTGTGTTGGGAGGCACGGCTGGTCAGCAAGTGTCCAGAGCTCCGCAAGGGCTCACCAAAGGTGCAAGTGTGTGTGTGATCTGGGGCCAGTCCAGAGAGCCCTGAATGCCATTTTCGGGAATTGTAAAATAGTAATGGCAATAATTCTGGTTATCAGGAGCCTACCATATGGCCCACCCGGTGCGAGCCAGTTCATACCCGTTCGACCCCTGGAAAAAGCCTATGCCTAGTCTTCCGATGTCCGTTTTATGGATGAGGAACTTGCAACTGTGAAGTCTTTAGAACAAGGGGAGGGGTGGGGGGTCTGTATTTTCAGAAAGCAGCTCCCACAGCAGTAGGTGGGCAGAACGGATGGGACACGTGCCAGCACATAGGGGCCCCCTTGACTTCTAACATGTTGTTGGGGACAAGCCATTTGTCCCCCAAATTGTTTAGCAAGGCATGAAGAAATGACAGGTATTTCTAAAAATGGACTGGTCCTCTCCAAAGTTTTGTGGGTTGGGCGGGCTTTGAAGCATATGATCATTTATGGAATTTTAGAACCTTTTCTTCCCCATGGTTCTTCTCAGACTTCCCCAGGAAAAGCGTCCCTTCTGGGGACAGCACTGAAAATTCCACAGCAGCGTCTCCTGGCCAGGCACAGCAGAACACAGACCCAGGGCAATGCTGTGAGCCAAAATTAGCCTTTTTATGAGCTCATTAGAAGCCTAAAGTTGAGCATCCGTTGCCATCCAAAATGTAACAGGAAGGTGAAAATATAACAGGAAAGAGAAGGCTTTCTCCTTCCCTCCCTCCCCCTTTCCGTCCACCATCCATCTGATAAGCAACAATCAAAGCAGAATCTTGGACGGGCGGGTGTCTCCTTCATCGTCAAGTAAACCCAACCCAAGCTCCTGAGAAACCCACTGTGCGCGACTCCAGTGACATTGCGGAGTTCCAGGCGGAGGGCAGAGAGACAGGTTTGCCATTTCTCAGTCAGTCCTGAAGTCTGCCAACTCCTTTATTAAATCTTAGGGTAAAATATTACTGTCTTTAGGAGTACCAGGACAGAGTTGATGACCTGAATTACTATTTCTTAGGAAGCTGGCAAAGGAGTAAATAGTAAGTAGAAGTTTTTCTTTTATTAATAGACTTTCCCAGGGAAACAGACTACCTTTAATAACTATACATTGTGCAGAGCACTTCTAAAATTTATGAAGCACGTTCATTTCACGTGCTTTACTTCCCACTGATGTACGGATTACTATCCCCATTTCATGGAAGAGGCAACTGGGGCTCTGACCACAGACCTAAGTCTTTCAACTCCAAGCAAACAGTCCGTGTATTACTCTCAGGCCCATGGCTTGTCGTTTGTGCCTTTTACCACACTTGTTCATTGGCATTACGGGGATTTTCCCAGTTTGTTTCGTGGAAAGATCCCACCCAGGCAGTTGGGGAGTGTTTAAAAGTCGTTCAGTCAACACTACATAACAGAGTACCAGAGCCAGAAACGGCTATTGGGACTGTTTCCAACCTCATTTTGGTTTGTTTGTTTGTTTGTTTGGAGAGGTTTTTGCTATAGGGCACATGTGCTCGCCAGAAAGACAGAGAGAGACAGACAGAAAACGAGAAATCACCCCCGGGGTAGATGGCCACACCGCAATCCCTTTTCCTCCATTCTTCTCTTGGGATCCTGGACACACACGCACACGCGCCCGGCATGAGTGTAAGCCACTGGGTCTGGGACTCGAACCAAGGTTGACCACACAGGAGGCCAGCTACATAGCCATTATGCCAACTACTGGTCCCCCAACGTCATTTTACCAGTGAGAAAACAAGCCCACAGAAGGGGTGCCCTGACTACACTCCTGAGACTGAGTCTACAAATCCCATCCATGACAAATTATGATCAGGAGGGGAGCTTCTTGGCTCTTTCATTCTCATCCTCTGACCGCACAATCCCTCTTCAGCACAGCCTTCACCATCAAAGCCAAGGGGACAGCGATAAAGTCTTCATCCTGGCATTGTCTGATAATATGGAGAGCATATTAATCATGAAATGTGAAGTGGAAGGGACTTGTAGATAATCTGGTATCATCCTAGAAAGACAAGCAGACCCCCCATCCCAGAGCCCGGACCCAGGTCTCCCAGCCCCCATCGCTGAGCCCGCCTGGTGTTTGGCACCCCTGAACTCGGCTGCGTTCAGAGTCAGTGCCGTTCACCCACCTTGTCAGAGATGGTCCAGACACAGGCCCTGGCTCAGCTCTCACTTCGCCTTGGCATTGGAGATCAGGCGTCAGCACTGGTTTGGGTGACGTGTTCCCGAGCAACACGGGGAGGAGGAGCTGCCAACGCCGAAGTCTCTGGGAATGCAAAGTTCTGAGCCAGTTGAACACCCAGAACTGCGCTGTCAGAATCGAGGGTGATGCATCAGAGCACTTGGGCTGAGAATGGCAGGAGGGCAGTCATAGGGCTAGAAACCTATGCTCAGAAGCCCCCAGCTTCCTGTCTCCGTCCCTGTGCTCACAGCTCACTTCTTCCTTGTGGAGCCAGCACTTGCTCCCCTGCAATCCCACCCTCCTCCCTCCCTGAAGCCTGCCTCAGCTCAAGCCTGGAGGAGGTCTCCCTTCCCATCTCTGGCAACCTGCTCTGCACAGTTTGGCACTTGGTTCGACTCTGCCTTTTATTGCATCTTAACCATTCTGAGTGTTTGTTTTATAGCCGACACAGATTGCAAATGCTCCGAGGAGGAAAATGAAGTATCCTCCTCTGTAGCCGACGGTGCATCTTGAGTGCCATCAAAGCAAGGAACCGTGCTCAGACTCTCAGATGGTGCTGACTTTAAGGCCCGTTGCACTTGACCTTGGGTTTGCACATACAGCAGATGCTCAGTAAATTCTCACTTTTTCTACTGTGGCTTCAGCCTTTTCAGAGAAAGAACTCAACAGCCAGGGTGTCTATCAGCCCATGCCAAGCCTCTGCAAACTACAGAAAAGCCACCTCTCCCTCCAGGTGGCCCCAGCCCTGCCAGGTTGCATAGTGGGGTGAGCAGAGCACGGGGTGGATCCCAGCCCCACTCCTCCAGGGTGCCCCCATCAGCATCAGCTGCTCTTGGCACCTCCTTTCCTCCCCAGCCCTCTCTGTGCAGTCAGCCACCTGCGTCACCTGGCTCTGGCCACCACAGGACGGTCTCCTCACAGCTCTCCATTCCATTCTGAGGGAGAAGGCCTACCTTGGGGAAGCTGGCAGCAAGGGCTTCTCGCTTTTCCCCACCTCCCTTTCCCTTGCAAACAGACAGTAAGGACAGTGAAAACCCCACATACCTGCAAGAGCTGCTCAGAGCCTGAGTCTAGACTTCCTGCAGGGCATGTGGAGGCCCCTCAAAGGTGCTTCCTACCCTGCCTTTATTTTGCTGAGAAGGCTCAGAATTCCCCCTGAGCTATCCCACTTCCCCCAGCCCCAGGGCTTTGTGTCAGATCCCTAACCCTTTCACATCTCCTCCCAAAGCCCACCCCTCCGAGAGGCTTCAGTCGACACTGCTCTTAGTGCCTCCTTATCCCCACGTCTCTCTCGTCCACACCGCTTCCATCTCTGCACCACCAGTCCTGCAGCTTATCAGCACGTAGCCTCGCTGTCTCCGCCCTCTGTTCGCACAAGTGTCTGTTCTCACCTGGCATCAGTCCATGCCTTTCACTCGGCACCACCCCCAGTGGTGGAGCAGTCTGCTAGCTCCTCTTTCCTCCAAGCCAGGCCCAGGACTGGCGGGGGCCGGGGCCCTCGCCCGCCCAGGCCTGGCGGGTCCAGGTCCCTTGCCTGAAGACACAGCAGCCGCTCACTAAGTAGCTGTAAAATGAAAGTCATTGATAAAAACTTTCCGGAAGGCCCTGACCACGATTCCTTCAGTCTAGCCAAGAGAACTCTGAGAACTGACCAGGCTGATAGAGACAAGTGTGAATGGTCAGCTCAGGGAAGGACGAAGCCAGAACAGGGCCCCTGTATCAGCTCTGTCTTCTGGTCATGCAGGACCTGGGGAGACCTCTGAGTTTCTTTTCCTTGCCTATTCCATCTGCCTGTTTCCAGATGGACTGGGGGGTATGTTAACCATCAGGGCCCTCGGACTGTAGGACTTCCCCCCCAAGTACCCAGGCACCCCCGGCCTCTCAGCGCCTTCGCACTCCTCAGAAAGCTTTTCTTGGCTGCAGCCCCAACCCTGGGACCTTCACTGCCCTCTGTGGAGAAGAATTCTCAGCTATGGAAACTGTAAACCCCACATACTTTACAGATGAGATTCCAAACTCCTAATGACGCCGAGCGTGGTGCGAAGTGGACGGAAGTCATCCTGCCGATGGGACGTGCCTGAAATAGTGTCACTACCACCGTCGCCCCCCTTCAGACACGAACGTCATGGAAAGAAAAGCAGAGCCTTGGCCAGGCTGCTCCCCTCATCCCTTAGCCTCACCCCGTCTCAGTGCCTCAATACTCTTGAGTAAGTGATCCATTGGTTCTGCAATCTAAGGTCACATAAAAGCACAAGAGAAAGAAAATGAACGACTCGGTCCTGAGACCTGGGTCCATCTGAGCCCAGCTCCGACCAGCAGCTCCCGCCTCCACCGCAGCTCAGGAGAGGGTACTTTTCAGGTCCAATGGTCACCAGTCTTCGGCCCCTGGAGCTGTCAGAAATGTCCCCCTAGACAGGGACGGTGACAGAGGCTACAGACATGGAGTTCTTGGGAAACGGAGAGAGCCTGCCGAATTTTTTAATTTTTATGTTTTTCTCTGATTTTTGGTTGGGATATGAAAGCAGCCTAGACCCCAGCTGAGATAAGGAAACGCCAGGGGCTATTTGTCAAACGGTTGTCGCCTTTGGGATCAAGAGGCTTCTCTGGTGCCCACCTCTGCCATTTTCCCTCCGCACCTCCCACCCCTAACCCCTTCTCCAAACGATGCCCACACCCCAGCGGCAGCAGGGGAACGCGGGTTCCGACCGAGCAGATCCGCATTCACGTGTACGCGAGTGTATGTGTGTGCGCGCGTGTTTGTGTGGCGTACGTGTGTGCGCGCGCACGGGAGGGTGGCGGGGCGGGCTCTGGCCCGGGGGCCGGGCTCATTTGTGGGCCGTGTTGGGGGGGGCGCCCGCGGGAGGGTGGCGGGGCGGGCTCTGGCCCGGGGGCCGGGCTCCGCAGTGAGAGTGGCAGCTGGACTTGCCAGGCTGCGAGCGGCAGGGCGCAGAGCCGCAGTGCCG